GCTGTCTTTCCTTCTTTATACCTCACATTTCTTCCTTCTTTCTCTTCTTGATCTTCTTCCCTTCTCTGAAAGGCTGTGGCCTCCTCTGGGGCTTGTTGGACAAAATCGGGCAGAACAGTCTACCCCATGCATGCTCCCCCCCATTCCACTGGAAATATTCAGTCTTCAATTTCCCAGTCAAAAAATCTGGAAATTCTTTATGCTTAGCTGAAACCAGAATATTGAGAGGATTTGAGGTTTTTTGGTTTTGATGGAAAAGACTCTTCCCTTATTCGTCATTATCTTTCTTTCACCTTTTCAGGAAGCTTTCCGTTCTCCAAAACTTTTGTTTTAATTTCTATATCCTTCCATACTACTTTATTTTGTGTTCTATTTAAGAAAACCCAACACAACCAGCAATGAACTGCCCCTGTGGTAGTGTCCATTTGAATCTGTGTCTTCAGACACAGTAAATTTGCGTGTTTGGATAGATATATTTACGTTTTGGGTGTACTTGCTCAGCAACAAAAGGTGTGTCTGCTTTAAGCAGGCGAACCCACGCTAGCTTTAATCTGGCTAGCACAAGTGATGAAAGACTTGAGGAGGCAGAGTTGCAGATTTTAGCACGATTTAGCAACAGAAGTCTGAGCGCGTTGTACATACAACCTCTGCTGAAGTCCATTCAAGTACATCTTCACTACACATTGATTTCAATTCACCAGCTTTGCTCTAAGCTTTGCATCTTTGAGCAGAATCAGCAAATAAACAGTTGGAGGGTTCCTAGCATGCATTGCCAGAATCAGCAGCTCCATTTCTGGCCTTCCTTGCTTAACGTCTCTTCAAGTTTGACTCATCCTCACTTAACAAGTGGCTGGTAGCAAAACAATGTTGCTGCTCCTGCTGTTTGTCACTCATCTTAGGCCAGAATTTGCCACGCTGATTGAAGTTATGAGAATGTGTGTGGCCCATAGGCACTTGAATTGGAAGCCTGCTAGCAGAGTTTGAAACTGCTGATAAAGATGAGGTCACTGTGCCCTGGGAGACGGCAGAGATGCATGTGCACGGTCTCCTTCAGTGACTGAAGGAGTAACAGTTTCCAGCAACAAGATGACACGGGCTGCCAATGACAACTCTGAGATCAGATACTGGGCCAGAGAAAGCCTTGGTCACACCTAGTAATTGCCTAGTAATCCTCGTGCAATGTAGGGTGACTGCTCCTTTCTGAAAAGGACACGGCTTTTGCCACAGTGCATTTAACTTTTGAGTTATGTAAGTTTTCTGTGGCAAAGCCACGTCCTTTTTTAGAAAGGAGCAGTCACCATACATGAAGTTTTATGGCTTTTGAGTTATGTAAGTACACTGTTCAGGAATATCTGTATGCTTAGATATTTTATCCATATATCCTAGTTATGGAATCAATGACCATAAGTATTTAAATTAAGGCAATCGCTGCAGTCTTGGATAATGACTTCATTTTTTTTTTTTCCTGAAAATGGTAACTGCTATGATGACATACATAGTCAGTTTCTATCCATATCTACGTTTCCTTGGTTTGTTTAAAAATGTGTAGTCATGTGTTTTCAGATGAATGGTGTAGCCATTAAAATTACAGGCAAGATTGAACTAATATACAGGAAATCCTTATTACTCGATCCCTATTGCCCGTTAAAGCAACCGCTGTGTGTATGTGTTTGTTTGTAGGAAGCTTAGCATCGTATCAGGCACCAAATGCTCCAAGTAGACTATTCATCTTGGCTGCTGGTGTTTCTTCCTCATTGCTGGTTCAAACAGTAACATGGTGGTCAGGAAACAGTTTACAAAGGTATCTTTTTATACTGATGGGATCGTAAATGACATTTCTTTATATTAAAAAGTTGGGTTTTGCTGAGAAGTTAAGATTTTTTTTTTCTCAAATGCACCACTATTCCCAAACTGATTCTTACAGGTTCATCAGGATATGGGGCTTCATGCTAGGCAAGATAATGCTCCTTGTTCTTCGCATCTGGTATACATCACTAAACCCAGTCTGGAGCTCACAAGCTGCCAATACTGTTGTGCTGACACTTGGTTTTATAGCAGCAGTGGAGCGAATTTGTTCAGGTAGGCAAAGATGACAGTTATGAAAACATCCGAAGTTATACCTATCTGTGTGTCACTGGGCTTTGATTCTTTTTGTTTGTTTGTTTTGTTTTTCCCTCAGTACAGCCTCTTTTTAGAACTGATGCATGAGCATTGCAGTCTTTAGAAACCGTGGGGTACTTCCATCTGCCCATAACAAGACAGAATCAATATCACAATTCATACAAGCTGTAGTAAGTTGGTGTTGGAACTGCCAACTAATTGCAGTATCAATAATCTGACAGTAACACAAACAAAGGCATAACCTAGACCAATAAAACCAGAATGGCTTATTCTCATTCCAACATGAAACATCTGTGGTATTTCTGTTATTTTCTTAATTCAGTCTGCTCTTTGAGTTTCTCTGCCAGTGCGTATCCTTTGACAGAGAAGGAGAGACAGGACGAAGCTGGGGAACAGCTGATGTGACAAAATAAACAGAAAGAATTGGAAGAGTGGGCGAGTTGCCCTGGTCAAAATTTGCCTGAGTTCTTGGAGCGTCTGGACAGAGTACGCAGCAGTAGGGGCTGGCATGAGCTAATCACACTTTAAAACTGTGAAGGTAGTATTGTTAAGAAAGACAGCAAGGTTGGGCTGCTTAGTTAAGGCAGCTCATGTTAAATCCTCAGAAGTTTCTTCCTTCTCAGTATAACCTGAATGAATTAATTGAAAGATAAGACCTTGTCTATGTGTAAGTGGGTATAAATTGGCATTGTGTGTATTGTTTGTAGACTTGCGTTACATGACATAAACGAAGCCTGAGCTTTCGTCATAATTTAGGAAGGGAATCTGTTGCAGGACATTAGGAAGGAAATCTGTCATCTTCCTAGGTGACAAAGCAATATGTCTATGCAGTTAAAAGTGCTGCTTTCTCCTTAGAGCAGAGAGGATCTAGAGTGCACAGAAAAAGGAGAAGAGAAGGAACGGAGTTTATTTCCGCCTTCTTTGGAAGAGTCAGGTTTTGTTCTTATCAGAGTTTAGAGTTTCAGAGAACAGAATCCTCTGAATAAATTCTAATAACTTTTCTGCTGATTTTCAAAGCCAGTTTAATTATTCAAATTCCAGTAGTATGAAGAATATTCATATAGGCAGGTTGCCATTTTTGTACATTTAAGGTGAGTAGCTTTTCCTGACAGACCTATGAATGTTAGTAGAGATTTTTTGTCTTAGCGGTTTCCATGAATGATCAGATAAGTTATCTTTTGTGTCTAGGCCAGTAATTTATTCTGGTAATTTTGTGATCTTGGTTGTTTCTTTTTCTCAATAACCCTTTCTAATAGGACTTGACAGTTTGCTCAGCTACATTTCCATTCTTATACTAGGTGGAGACAAGAGGAAACACGAAGCAAACAAAACTGGTAATGCAGTTAGAGAGAGTGTTTCCCACCCTCATTGGCTTTTGTCAGGGATTGCTTTTGGCAGCCTCATGTTTCTCACCCTGTGGATATTTGGGGAGGTCTCACTAATTTCTAGATGGGCAGTAAGTGGACATCCACATACAGGTCCAGATCCTAATCCATATGGGTAAGTGTTTTTATTATTATTCTTACTTAATCAAAACAGTAATCAAAAGCCAGTGCTGTAGTGGGTGGCAGGTTAAAACTCAACCAGCCGATCATGTAAGAATTTACATAGGATGAAGTGGGCACAAAGTACTTCACACAGAGGACTTGTGGATTCGTTCTTGCTTTCAGATACCTCTGAGCATTGCGTCTACACCAATAAATCTTAAAATTTTCTAATACAAAGTGATTCTTATTTCAGCAATAAAAAACTTGATTTGCCACATTGCAAAACAATTTTTAAATTAGGATTGAGGTTCAAGGACTTCTATAGGTCCTTGAACTGTCTATAGTTTGAAGTGCATCTTGAAGTGCACCTTGAATTGCATCTATAATATGCAGTAAATGAATCTAGCAGCTGATTTCAGAGAGGAGAGGGTAGAAAATAGTGTACTTCAGAGATGCACACAGATAAAAAAAGTAAACCATGTGCAATGTTGAAGGATAAGCTTCTGTAGAAGTTTTGGTTAGTGAGAATTTAGTCTTAATGCTGCGTGTTACTCACCCAGGTTCCAAAACCTAGAAAGGGACCAGATTAGTTGTTCTGAGTCAACTACGTGAAGTGGCAGGTGAGGTAGTTAATAATATGGAATTAGTACACACAACAGCTACCAAGGCTGACAGCAACGTTAGGTGCTGTAGGATCCCATCCCTGGAAGCGTAGATGCCTCATCCCTGGAAGTGTTCAAGGCCAGGTTGGATGAGACTTTGGGCAACCTGGTGTAGTGGAGGGTTTCCCTGTCCATGGCAGGGGGGTTGAAACTAGATGATCTTTGAGGTCCCTTCCAACCCTTAGCATTCTATGATTCTATGATTCTATCCCGTTTGACATGAAGACAATACTTCTCTTTGGGGTGTATTTCTTGCTCTCGTTTTCTCTGAATTCTTTTTGCCTTTTGTACTTCAGCGAAGTGCTTCTACTGCTGAATGTAGCTTGCTTATACATTATGATAATTGCCATTATTTTCAACTGAATGGTTTTTATGCCCAGTAAAGGCGAGAAATGTAACAGAATGTGAAATAAAGATATTTTGTGCTCAAATTGAGCTCTGTTTAAAATAAAAGGTTTATAAAATATTACCAAGCATCCTTGTCTGTATGTCTAGAATTTTCTTTTTCAACACCAGGTGTTTATAAAATGATATTAATGTATGTTTTCTTTTTCCTTATTGTTGTATTAGAGGTACAGTTCTGTTGGGCCTGGTTCATGGACTGATGCTTTCATTTTGGAGCTGGTCTTCTGTCAAGCTAAGTTTTGCTTGGTTTCTTGTAGGTAGGTACAAATTCTGAGCAGAATTTTTGTTTCTATTACCTTGTTGCCATTACTCAAGCCCTCTGACCCTACACCACATCTCAGAAAAGTCAATTGTTAAGCAAAGCATCTTTTGCTCTGTCACTGACTGTCTGACCATTGACTAAGGGTTACAGGCTGAATCTCCAGGCCATTGCAGAGCAGCATTGTTCTCTTCAGAAGTCCCTGTTGAAGTTCTGTTCTCCTGAGTAGCATCTCAGTTCTCACAGTCTGCTTTGTGTAAGGCTACATCTAAGGTTATGGGGTTGAGGTGACACAAGCCTCTCGATTTCACAGGAAGCACAGTAGCTTGTAACTTCATGAACAGTTCACCTGGAGGCAAACTTGCCTCCTGTCTCCTTAGTTGCCAAGATCTCCAGGCAGTAAAATAATATGAATATCAAAACAGTCCTGCTGGATCTATATATTTGTGAATCAGTCTGCATACAGTGAGTCTTGAGTGGTGGGAGGAGGGATTCAAGTGCTGGATCTGGACATCCATTTTCAGAAGGATGGTATAGCTATGCTGTGGAGCAAGCTATGCATGGAGCAAGTAGGGGGAAATGGAAATAATTCTGCTCGTGAACTGTGGAGAGGTGTGTGTTCCATACCCTCTCAACATGGATGGTTGGATGCAGTTTAGTTTAATATGTAGGCCCATCTGAGTGAAATTTAGTGGCGTAAATGCTGTTTAAAAAAACCCTGTAAATCTACTTCTTTTTTAGCCTTAGCTAATAGTTTGTAAATGTTTGTATGAGGAAGAGAAAGCAGTACTTGCTAGAAATGTTTAATAATAAATTGGGACATATCAAAACACAGAGACCAAAGGAAATGGTGAGTTATGTCTTGCTTTTTCTTATTCACCTTCTTTTGGAGCACTTAAGACGCTTTCAAGTCGTTTTGCACAACCTTGAAGATTAGAAATTTAACACAAACAGAGTTTCTCCTAGTCAGGAACCGAAATAAAATACCAGGTATCAGCAAAGTCACAATAAAGGCACAAGAGTTTGAGATGCTTAAACTATCAGTTCCCTAAATAATTTACCTTTTGGTGCAGGCATTAGGTTTAAGAAATGTATGTACAGATGATAATGTGAGTATGAGCATTTGATTTTGCTGTACACACATTGCTAATCTAAAACAAGTACAGAATGGTTCTTTAGCTGATTCCAGCATTGTATTCTAAAATGCTTATAAGCTTGATGCATAAGAATAAAATATTAAAAATGTTTCTATAAATTTGCTATCATGATATGAAAGTTAGTAAACATTTTCTTATCTACAATAAAGTTTTAAAATGAAGTTGTCATGTTATGAAGAGTTTCTGTGGTTGTTAATGTTCTGTTTGGGGTCAAATCTCATCACAGTCAAATACAGTGTGGTAAATCAAGGATCTTGCAGTAAGTAAAGAATTAATAGTTGCTTTCTTGCCCATCATATGGTTATCTAAAGGGAGAGAAGATCAGAGAAAGATATGTTTTCACATTAACCTATTTGATTCTTTCTGTGTTCTGTTAAAGGAGGTTCATAACAGGTGGACCTGTTAACCTCTTAAAAACTGCATCATCCTTCTGTTGTGCTAGGAGAGCTCTATGTAAGAAAAACTGTTCAGTTTTGGCTCTTGATGATGTTTCTCTGCAGTCTTTTTGCTGCACTGTTTTCAGCTGAATAGGCAATCTTTAAGAGAATGAGATATTGGGAAAGGCAAGAGGCCGTCTTTGGCTGTTGGGAATAACTGTCTTTTTCATGATGCAGTTCTCATGGCTGCAAAGCACAGTTATATTTCCCAGGCTCTCTTTTTTCCCTAGACAAAATGTGAAAAAGAAGGCGGCGGATGATATACCTGACTGTGACTTTATTCTTTTCTGTCTCTTCACAGGTTTAGCCTCTTCAGCTGGTCTCCTTTATTTACACACCTGGCGTGCTGCTGTTTCAGGCAACATTCTCGCTGTCTTTACGACGTGTGTGTGGCCTCAACTGGCTGGACGCTTTGTTAGCTGTCCGCATCCTGGGAAAGCCATAAGTACAGCCATGTTTGCCTACGTTCTTGAATTGTTCTTCTGTGTATGGTGTACAGCTTATAAATTTGTACCTGGAGGAATTTATGCTAGAGAAAGCTCTCATCTTCTTTTAGGTACAGTTATGACTGTCAGCAAATGCAAATATGCTTGCTTTAGCCTCAACCAGATGTTTAAAATGTATCTAGTGTATAAATAGTCTTTACAAATGCTCAGCTCCTGTTTGATTTACTATGGTAAGAGTTTCTATGAGAAAATTAGTGAGACATGCAAAAATAATTGCTTTTTTCTTTAATGTTAGAAGTAGTTTAAAATGACAGTAGAAAATAGAATTCACTTGAGGGAAAATGACAAAGTGAAAAAAAAAGTCTGATAACTCAGTACACAGCTGAGGAAGAAATCTGTTAATCAGTCACCCTAAAAATATGACTGCAATCCAGGGTGTGAATGCATCTGTATGCTCGCTACCTAAGATAGCAGTATGGTACCTCAGGTACCAATGTAGTTTCTGGAAACTTTGGTGACAGTCCGTGTCACTGGGCTGTAACATCATTCAGTGCATTATTTAGCCCATATCTGAGAAGCAAAGTGCAGCATCCTGCTGATCTAGCTAGTCTGCATTTGAGATCTGAGCTTCATTTCCATGTGGCCTTAGCTTATGCTTTGTGGACACATCAGCATGTTTGGAGGAATGTAGATAAGCCTGCGGTGTCAGAAACGTGTAAACAGGAGAGGAAGAAAAATTGTCAGGTATTTGCCAGTGAGGAAGAATTGCGGTGAGCAAATACAAAGGTTTTGGCAAAACAATCCCTTCATGAAGGTGGAGAGGTGGAAATGAAACCAACCCTTTCTGGTTTGGTCTACAGAATTACTTTCTTAATAAGTACTGATGTGTTTGAATAGCATATTTCACTATTATATTTAAACAATGCCAAACATTGTCTTGGGCTAAGTGCGTGGCACATTTTAAAATGTGACACGTACCCTATATTTTGTTTGAAAAGGGTTGATGAATGCTGGGCTTTATTTGTTGCTCTAATGGTTTTAGATTTTGTAAATGTCTTTGCAGCCACTTCCTGTCACATCAGTTTCTTAGTCTCTGTATGTGTTTCCTATATTACAGCAATCACGTGCAGGGTGTCAGTTTGTTATGTTTTGAGGAGAGTTCCGTTATGTTTATTGCAGTTTTCTTTGCTCTGAAAGCACTCTGAGGGCTTGTAGAAATGGTTATCTCAGTTAATTTAATTTTATTTTTTGAAGTTATATGAAGAAAGCATGTGGTAGAGGCATGTCAGATACTTTATTGAGTAATGCTTTGACAAAAGAAAAGCTGTTTTATAAAATCTCTCTCTGTCACTTCCTTTGAAATACACACTTGTGATTAATTCACCTGGCACAATCACTGGATAATAACACAAAGGTGGTCCTAACTTTCTCTTTGGTGTAAAGAGAACTGTGAACTGAACCTATCTCAGCTGATGACACTACATGAATTTATATTCCATCTGAGAATCTAGTTTCTGTCTTTTTGATGCTATCCCATTGCTTATCAAAGATTTGTGAATTATGCCATGAGATTGTGTATTTGTTGCTGTGCTTCTACCCTTACAGCTTGGCTTTCTGGCAAACTGCTTGTTTTCTTCTGGTTTCTTTCAGGTGCAAGTGCTATTTCTTGCTTTCTCCTCCTGTCCAATATCCTGCCTTTCTTTTGCCGCAGTTTGGGTAGGGAACTGCGCCGGGAAAAGTGACAATGAAAGTAAGATCACTATATTCAAAACTTTGGTGCTGCTTTCCTGTGACGTAACGTGATGCTGAGGGGTGGGATCCTTGGTCTTCCATTGGCTTTAATGGCTTTGAATCAGTTTCCCTTTGAGAGATTTTGTGTATGCCAACTTATTGCCAAGGGCAATAAGAAAATACTGAGTAATGGTTATTTTATCTTCAGCTATAACTCTGAAATAAAACATGACTTCTATAGTTAGTTAACACAAAGATATTAAGGACATACACCTTCTCCAGCAGAGCTCTTATCCAATTCATTATGCTCCCATGTTTTCTGGGAGCTGCTTCTGTTGACTCTGGAGCAAAAGAATACAAGATGCTGCCATTTTAAACTGGCCTCCCCACCTGCTGCAGTCTGCTTGCGCTGTTTTAAAACAAACTGTTGAGTAATTTTTTTTCCAGTTCCTCTATAAAAATGTGCTACTTGTATCTTAATGACAGAGCAGTTGCAAAGATAAGAGACGTCTACAGTTAACAATGTATTTTTTCATCAAGCTGTTATTTTAAGGTTCTATGATATGGAGGTTTAACTTAATTGCTCTTGTCCAGGTAAATTCCAGTAAACTTTGAAAGCACTGGGCTGAGCTGGGAGTTGTAGCAATCAATAGGGGCCTGGAAGCGTTTTAGCATAATTTATCTACCGTGTGTTAGCCTTTCTGACGCAATACCCTGAAACTGTACTGCAAATCAATCTTTGCTTGAGAGTGCTGGCTAAGCGCACTTGAGGTTCTGTGGAAATTGGTGTTAGGATACACAAAGGTGGGGAGGTCTGCTGCAAGATTCATTACTTTGCCCCAGATCAAAGGATTAAAATATTTTTGTTTTCATTGTTCTCCCAATTGGTACATGAATGGAGGAAGGGAAAACATGGCTTTAAACAGGTATTTCACTAACAGAAGAAACCTGATAAAATGTGCAGTAGTGGGACCCAGTAGTACTAGCAGAGTTAAAATATTTATGTATTTCCACAGTGAATAATGAGACAGGTTCTGAGGATTGCTCAGTTAACACCCAATGCAGCCCGATGCTGAGGACCACAAAGTTGTCTGGTACTATTGTGGTCCTTAGGCTGATGGGTTGCAAGGGAAGAGCAAGAACAGCTGTAAGTTGCACTTGGGTCAGTACCACTCCTTGTGCTCAGCCTGAAAGACCAAAAGGTGGACTACATTTTGGAGTTCACCATAGTCTAGAGTTGAATTCATAATGTGAAGGGGTCTTTGGCTAAATACTTTTACTATTAGGTCTGCTCTTCAGTCATCAGAGCAAAGCAGGCTTGACAAGACTGTTTCAGGTGTGTTAAATCTTAGCAGCAGCATATTTGAAAAGAAAAACAACAACCCAAACAATATAATTTTGAACTTCATTATTTTTGTGCGAAACAGGTGTTCAGTGACATTTTAAATAATCTTTTAGCTTTGAATTCTTATTGCAGTACTACTGTTTTGAAATATTGATCATTAGTGGCATGTTGAACATCACTAGGTCATTTTGTTGGAAGCAATGCTTATGTCAACAAGTACAACAATGTAAATTAAAAATTTTATTAAGGGCTGCAGGCATAGATGAGGTGAATACTGCGGCAATGATAAGCAGGATCTTCTCCATCAATAAATCTTGTATTGCCTGCATTACTACATTGGGTGTGACATTTATCTGTGTTTGTGGTTTGAATTGTCTTTGTTATTGGTTGAATGTAACACAACAGCTGGGGGTTTATAAATGATACATTTATGAGCAATGTTTGATATGTTAAAGCTCTATGAAAAAACTAATGACTTATATTTTTACAGGGTTTATCATGTTATGTATTGGAGTTGACTTTCTAGCAGGACCAAAGAAAGACCTTAGCTCTGTCTTTGAAGTGAAAAGCAACCAAAAGCCACTGTTCAAAAAGAGTAAAAACTATATTAAACTACGTAAGTACAATTTTACTTCCTTTCTTCCATGATTCTAGGAGTACTGTCTGAGGAAAAAGAGTAAAGCAGTGCAGTGTTTTGCTCGGATGTTTTAGAAATGTTTTTTTGGTGCTAGTTTGAGAGCCAGACTTGTAGTTGGTATTGATCTAGTTTTAATGATGATGTACTAACTGAGGAGCTGATTCATTAAGTTTACAGTTGAGATAGAGGCTATTCCTAATGGAATGTGTTAAATGGAGACCAAAAAAAATGAACTGGAGAAAAAAGAAAATGTAAAAATGGATTTGGCATCATTTGTAATTTCATTTGGGCAGTTAAGTAGAAGGCCTCTCTGGATCTTGGGACTTATTACATATAAGATACATATTTTTATATATATATAAAGTAGGTATATAAAAGATATGGCTGATTTCTCGGCCCGTTTGATATGCTGATTTTGAAGCAGTTCAGTGTGACAGCCTTTATAGGGCTGTGTGAGCTGGCTGGCAGTGGGATGGGACTCGACTGGCCCAGGAAGTGCAGTATAATGTCACACCCCTCTTGCATGAGGCGGCAGTCCTGCAAAGCCTCTTGTGGCTGATATCACTACACAATCCTGACGCCCTACTGCACTTTCAGAGCAGGCTTATCCTCAGGAAACTTTTGTTGTCATGTGCCTGTGAACTATGCCTAGGGATGCCAGCTTTCTAGATGGTGTGTATGAGGTCTGCTTCTTTCCTTAGGTTTTGAAGAGAAACTAAGATGTTTGAGGTTTTACTGCTTTGGCTTTTAGGCCTCTGAAATCCATCCAAATTATGTTCTCAAGTGTTTCTCTACAATCATTTGAGTTTCAGATTTGTTTTCATTGTTAGCTTACTTTTTCTAAGGAAAAAGTCTGTCAGTATTATGAAGTTTATTAGAGGAGAAAATTGCTAGGCATTAGGGCATGCTAACTCTACAGAGATCAGGATGCTGAAAGTTCAAATTCCTGCATCTTTTTTTCCTCTGTGACTTTGGATCCAATCACTTATCATTTGCATACTTCATTTTGCCTCATTTGGAAAGCAGAGACAATAGTGCTTCACCACTTTTCAGGGCTGTTTCTGAAATCTTTATGAAGGTCTTTATCCCTTGTACTCAGGGGCCAGAAGAATGTGGCCCCTGAGAGTTTGTCTGTTAGAGGTCATGTGAGCACCAATGCAAACAGTTTAAATATTACTATTCAAACTCATTTCAGAAAAGTGAATAAATACTTCACAACACTGTCTGTCACAAAGCACAGCCCTTGCTCAGCTCATTTTGTGACGTTACAACAGTAACTCTTGTACTTCCTCATCATGCCCAGACTTGTATTGTTTCTCAGCTTCCCCTTTAAGCACCTTTGCAATTGGCAGAGTATGAAATTGCTTGACATTTACTAAGGTTAACAGCATGTCCTTTCTTCTGACATCATTATCCATGGTAAAATTTATTTAAATTTTACACAAAATTGTTTCAGAAAACTTGCATGAAAATAATTACGTATCTGTTGTCGTGGTTTTAGGCTGATCCAGC